GGATGAGGTTGTTCGCTGAGGTCTTCAAGATAAGACCTGATCCCCAACAGAGTTGTCCTCCTTATCCGTATGGTGCTCTCCTGTCTTAGTCATGCTTATCCGATGACATAATGCCAACATGGCCGAAGTGAAAAACAGAGCTTATTTCACTATGTGATCGCTGTATTGAGCGACCACTGTAGCATGACCCGGGAYAAGAAGATGAGATATATGGATCGGGTTTTCCATATCCCATCAAGATCCGATGCGAATCCAATACTTTCATTAATAGTATGATTTAAGTATTTATATTATATTTAATATAAAATTAAATTATATTTAATTGTAATTCATAGTAATTATATTTTAAATTAATTCAAATATAATCAATTAATAGTTTAAACAGTAATTTCCAAATAACCAAGACCCGATTCGAATCCAATGCTTTACTTAATAGTATGATTTAAGTATTTAAATTATATTTAAATATAAAATTAAATTATATTTAAATATAAAATTAAATTATATTTAAATTTTAATTTAATTACATATTTAAATATAATTTAAGCTATAAATACTTAAATAGCAAAGGATTGCAAATAATTACCAAAAACTTTCGTAGACTAGCAGAAATTAACCAAGAAAATAACCAAAAATAAATTACCAATTATTTTAGAAAATATGACAATGTCTATAAATTAGAAGAAAAATAAAAAATTGCCAATAATTAACAAAAATTGTCATAGTTACCAAAAATAATCCAAAATTTACCAAAAATGAATTAACATTATTTCCAATAAATTTGATAAATTACCATTAATTTTAAAATTATTGCTACCATTTCTTATACTTATTTAATAATAAATTAATAATAAAAATTAACAATAAATTACAGAAATTATTTGTGAAACTAAAGGTACTTTGTGAAAATCTGTACTAATTATTGATAATCTTCAAAAAATAAAAATAATTATGAGAAACTAATAAAAATAGTAGACAATTACAAAATATTGTCATTTATTAGTAAAAATGAACATAAATTAAAATAAATTGGTTTTTTCGTATAGATTATAAATCATATAATTTAAACATTATAACCCTTGCCTATGATGGTATTAGTTTATAGTGTTGTGATGAAAAATATAAAAAATATGTTTACTATTATGTATTTCTATTGTTTCAATTTCGCTTAACAAAGCCTGTGCATTGCATAGGTCCTACTAGTAATTAAAAAAGAATAAGGCACTGTTTGATTTCACTTTTAAAAAGTATTTTTTTAAGACATGGGACCACACATTAAGTGATTTTTAAGTACTTATAAGTGTTTAGTAAAAAAGTGTGAGAAGAAGTACTTCTTATTAAAAGAAGCACTTCTTAAAAAAGTGACCTAGATGTGGCTTTTCTTCAGCACTTCTTGAAGAAGTGCTTCTTCATTCGAATGGGATGAACTTGTCCCTGGTTTTTTAATGATAAAAATACCCCCACACGAGGTTATCATCCTCCTCCTCCACTTGAAACCCTACAACATACTAGGCGGCGATGGCGTTAGTTGCAGGTCCATCGGCGATGTTTGACGGTGAGCAAAAAACGACCGGTGGACCTGTCGTTTTGCTCTTATCTTTGTTTTTCTATAGTATTCCATCGATTTGAGGCTATTTTTTTGTGTTTTTCTGAAGTCTAATACTCTCATTTTCTCTGTGGTTGCAGATTTGTGTTTGGGTGAATTCAATGACAATATCCCACCGTCTAGCCTCCAACTAGTAGAAGGTGAGTTTACCAAAACTCCTCCCCTCCATGTTTGTTTTTTTTTGGGTTTTTTGGATGATTATTTCTCTGATTCGATTTTTTTGTATGTGTTCATATGAGAAATCTGAAATTCTTTTGGGCATTCTTTTGTTAGAAATCATGCAAAAAATTGGTCATCAAAAGCACTTTTTGGAAGTATTTTGTGAAAACTGTGCCTTAAAAGTGCTTTCTAGAAGGAATTTGTGAAAACTAGTCCTTAAAAGTGTTTTCTGAAAATAATTTGTGAAAATTACTCCCTAAAAGTACTTTCTGGAAGTATTTTGTGAAAACTAGTCCTTAAAAGTACTTTTTAGAAGAAATATGTGAAAACTACTCCCTAAAAACACTTTCTGAAAGTATTTTGTGAAAATTGGTCATTAAAAGTGCTTTCTGAAAGTAATTTGTGAAAACTGCACCATAAAAGAGCTTTTTGAAAGTATTTTGTGAAAATTGCGCCTTGAAAGTGCTTTCTAGAAGTACTTTGATGAAAATTGATCATTGAAAATGTTTTTTGAAAGTATTTATTATTATTATTATTATTATTATTATTATTATTATCCACGTGTCACTCTATATGTGGACCCACATGGGCTTTCATGTGTCATTATATAGTGATGTGACAATTTTTCATTGAAATATGTATTATAATGATATGGAAAGCATTGTTTATAAGTATGTGTGGAGTGAAGGCTAAAAGTATCATTTAAGCTAGTATAAGCACTTGTGGGGAAAGTAGGTCACCAAACATCCCCACCCCAATAAGTGCTTAAAAAACACAATAAGTGATTGGCAAGTGGGTCACCAAACAACCTTCAAGCCCTATTAAAAGAAGCATTTCTAAATATTTTTTCAAACCTCTTATTCACCAAACATAGCCTAAAAAGGGGAAAGAAGAGATAGAATGGAAGCTCAACCATTGACAATTAGGGTTGGATTTGAGCCTTCTTGAGCTGAATATCTGGCTATTCGAGCTTGGCTCGCCAAAAAATATTAGGCTCAAGCTTAAGTGAAAGGCTGGAGCTCAAATTTGACTTGGGTCAAAAGTTTGTACATTTGAGCTTGACACTGTGAACCAAGCTTTCTATAAAAAATAAAAATTATACATATAAAAATATTTTTTATTTTATATACAAAAATAAGAATTATAAAATTTATTTATTATATATAAAATATAAAAATATTATATATAAAATATTAACATATATAGAATAAAAGATTTATTATATACATAGTATGTATGCATGTATGTATTAGGCTTGCAAACCTCATTAATCCAACTTCATTGGGGKCGAGCTTAACTCATGAAAATTCATAGGGCACATAACCTTTCAATCTCTCACTATAGGCCTGTATCTCATGCATTTTATCACTGATGTGGTACATTGTCATTAGTTATGCACCAACTATATGAGTTTGGATATTTTCCATACCAACCTCACATGTACATCCAACATCTCCCGTACTTAGTGATATTATTTACGGGAGATGTTTYCAATTCATGGTGGGATGTGCTTGTGAGATGCGCTTTGGTTAGGTTCCAATTCCAACTATAAAACCATAGCATTCAGCTAGTCTGAATTCGCAAAAAAAAAAAGTTTTTAAAAATCAACTCGGAAACGGAACCACTGTAACCACTAGTTTTCGGGTCAACGGTTCGACCATCCGGATCGAATGGTTTGGACGGTTTACATTATTAGGGAAGCTGTTGGTATTAGTCTAGACTTTTAGTTTTTTATGAGAAAGAGGATGTGGTTGTGGGTTGAGAAAGAAAGAAAGAAGAAAAGAAGGAAAGAATGAAAGGAAAAAAGGAAAAAAGGAAAGGAAGGAGAGAAAGGAAAGAAAGAAAGGAAGGAGGGAAAAAGGAGGAGGAGGGAAGAAGGAAGAGGAGGATCCGACCTTTACGGCGACGATGATGGCAATGGTGACAGCGATGGCTACTACTACTATGGCAACAATAGAAACGTAGTAGGTGTTTGGAAGTGTGGGCGCTTTTTGGGACCGATTTTCAAGAAAAAAACGTCCATGCTTCCAAGACCCCTTTTTCACAAAAAAAAACGCTTCTGCCACATAGACAGTGAGCAATACTATGCTATTTGGTAAGGTGATTTTCATCATCGTTTTTCATGTATATGTTGATAGGTAAGCACCACATAGGATACACATCAGTCAACCGTTGGGGGCAACGGTTCACCGATGCATGAAAACACCAAATTTAACGTTTCATGCATCGACGGGGTCCCGATTTACAAGACATGCCCGATTTTTTAATAAATGCCTGAACCTAACATTCATATATATGGGCATTTATTGAAATGCCTATATGAATCCAACAAACTGGCCATGATTCCAAACATCCCCATAAATATCAGATGTGATCTCCGGTTCTCTAACAAAGTTAACGAGTTTTGGCAAACGGAACGGGTTGGCCATCAACAACCATTCCAAAAACATCGCAAAAAACCATAAACGATTAAATCAAGAACCCAACCACCCGCCGTACGACATTAAAATTATTGTTGAATTACAGCTATAATTGCAACTTGCGCTTGCGGCTTGCATGCATTATAAATAATTTAATTAATTGTTCAAATAAATAAAAAACCCTCTAATTGCAACATTTTTTTTTTTGAGAAAAGCAACTCTAATTTCTTAATCCCTAATAGCTACTTTGTCGTCACTCGTCATTCCTACCCGCCAATTATATTTCAGAATTCGGAATCCGACTATTTTTAAATTCCCCAGTAAAATAGTAAAATAAAGGCCATATTTTAGATTCCACGGATACCCGGAATTTAAGACCGGTTGGTCAGGATTCAGGAGTTATGTTAGGTAACAGAATGCGGGAAAAAAAGGGTAATTAACTGCATTTACCAAAACTAAACATTGAGAGAAACAACGCTGCTGAGCTCACGAGCTCAAATCAAACATCGTGATGCCGCTTCTTTGCCACGTGTGAAATGATTATTAAAAGACAATAACCCTGTTTTCTTGCAGRTTGCCACCTGGCTAGTTTCCACTGGCAATATGATGAATAACGTTTCCGCTTACTAGTTTCCTCTGATTTTGAGAGCTTACTAAAAGTGAAAACGAGGTTAAATTATGCATTATCTTTATATAGGTGGTGATGGGATGGAATACGTGGGATCGCAGCTGTAACAACTCGCCTAAATCACTAACAAAATACAAAATTAAGTAGCAAAACACAAATTCCATTTTCTTTCCTTTTTTTTTTTTTCTTTAAGCCATAAGGGCATAAGGCAACCTAAATTTCTCCACTTTCAATTCGTAGCTACATCGAGGTTCAGAAACAAAATTCGAAATAGAGAGAGAGAGAGAGAGAGAGAGAGGTATGGAATCTCAAGACCTCTCCACAATTCCGCTTAGTGAGTCTGCCCACCTCCTCCTAATAATTCCATTTCTGTATATCTCTTTTTGATCTTCCTAAAATCTCTATTTTTTTAATTTTATTTCTTTTATTTTCTTATATGCAGTTTCGAAGACCAGAGATGACGCCGAAGACCATAGCCGCCCCTCAACTTCATATTCGTTGTCACAGGTTTTGGCATCGAGTTCTCAATCTTCTGCTCATGACTTTTCGGAATCCGAAATCTCTCCGATTAAACAGGTGGCTCTGACGGTACCCACAACCGACGACCACACCCTCCCCGTGTTGACCTTCCGGATGTGGGTTCTAGGAACAGTTTCATGCATTCTTCTCTCCTTCCTCAACCAGTTCTTCTGGTACCGGACAGAGCCTCTAACCATCACTGCAATATCAGCTCARATCGCTGTGGTCCCTCTTGGGCGTCTAATGGCGTCGATGATTACCAATCGTGTCTTTTTCAAGGGTTCCCGGTGGGAATTCACACTGAATCCTGGGCCCTTTAATGTCAAAGAGCACGTGTTGATCACCATCTTTGCCAACTCCGGAGCCGGGACGGTTTACGCCATACACATTGTCACCGCTGTTAAGATCTTCTACAAGAAGAACATTACCTTCTTTGTCTCCCTTATCGTTGTTATAACAACCCAGGTAGCTACTGACTAGGTATTTCTTATATGGATGCTTATTTAGGGGGTTTGGTATTATAGATTTTTAATTGTGTTTGAAAAGTTTGAATGGAATGGTAGGTGCTGGGGTTTGGTTGGGCTGGGATCTTCCGGCGGTACCTGGTGGAGCCGGCAGCAATGTGGTGGCCTGCCAATCTCGTTCAGGTGTCATTATTCAGGTATGCATCTGTTTGTACCTCAGTTTTTCGGTTGATCGGTGCCTCAGTTTGCCGACGACTCTCCATGAAGTCCGGCAAGGTTGATGGAGATGGCTGATGGGTGGTTGGTTTGGATTCGGACTCTGTGTTGTGCAGTTGTGGCTCTGGGGCCTGGATTGCATTAAAAAAACAAGAAATTAAATAGTAGAATACATAACAAGTCAGACTGGCATTTTTGTTTTTATCATTTATTGTTATTTGTTAGTTACAACTTACAATAGAAACACCCATAAGGCCATAAACCCTGCAAACCCCATCTCGGTGAGATCAGGATTCGATCCAAAGGCTCTTCAACTAGCCAAAGACCTTACCAACCGAGCTAATTGCCACGTTCTATCTACCGGTCCAAGAGTCCAAGTATTACTATGTGGGGTTGAGGAACGCTTGACCCGCTTCTTAATATATATATATTATATATATAAGAAAATTCTTGATTATTATTCTCTAATTTGGCCCGGTTACAATTTGGTTCCCAAACTTTAAAATGCGACAATTTAAAAGTGACAATCCAGTATCTGCCATTAATCAGTCTGTTAATCATCCGTTAAGTGATATTTGAAAAGTCAAAAATGTCTTAAGAATGTCATCTAATTCTCTTTATTAACCATCCAAACATTGAACAGTTCCAAATTCTAAATTCTTCTAAACAGTCACCAGCTTTTTTGAATAGAAGAGGCTAGGATTTGAGATTGTTCATTTTTTTGTCAACGTTTGAATGGTTGATAAAGAGAATTAGATGGTATTCGAAGGGCATTTTTRACTTTTCAAATGTCACTTAACGGCTGATTAACGAACTAGTTAACAACAGGTACCAGATTGTCACATTTTGAAAGTTTGGGTACTGGATTGTCGCATTTTGAAGGTTTGGATATTGGACTGTCGCATTTTAAAGTTCGAGGACCAAATTGTCGCTCGAGCCAAAGTACAGGGTACTGATCGGAAATTTTCCCTCTCTCTCTCTCTCTCTCTCTCTCTCTCTCTCTATCTATCTATCTATCTATCTATCTATATATATATATATAGATATATATATATATATAGATATATATATATATATATATATTACTAGGACCGTGTTATGCATGGGTTGAATAGGCCTAATCCAACTCAAACAAAGATTGTGTATAGATGGGCTTGAGTTTTCAAATTTTAAGTTGGGTTTAAGTCAAAAAACTCGTCTAACTTAAATTTAGGTTGAGCTTGGGTAGTCTAAGCCCGATTCGACCAATTTGAGCCCGCTCAACATTTTGTAATATACATGTCTACATATTATCAATATATTTTACCTAGAAATTGGCTACAAAGCTAAACACGTCCAATCCCAAGCCCAACCCAAGATGTTGGGTTAAAGTTCAGGTTAGGGCTAGGTTGGTAAGAGAAAAATTACTGGTAATTTTCAATAATTGCTGATAATTTTCTAATATATAACAAAAAATAGAATGACAATAATCACTAATAATTTACTAACCTAGGCCTGAGTTTACCAACCCAAGATTAAGCCTAATTTTACCAACCCAAGCCCAATCCGAGTTTAACTTAACATTTTGGGTTGGACTTGGGCTTGAGCGTATTAAGCTTTATAGCCCAATTTCTAGGTAGAACATATTGAATTATTGCTAATATGTAGATATACATATCATAAAATGTTGGCATGGGCTCAAATTGGGTTTGGTCGAGCTCAAACTACCTGAGGCCTAAGTTTAGGTTAGCTTTAAGTTTTTTTGGCCTAAACCCAGCTTGAAGTTCAAAAAGTCAAGCCCAATTTGTGCAAAAGCTTGGGTTGAACTAGGGTCGGGCTTGAGTTAGGTCCACCCAACGCAAGGTACACCCCTAGCTCCTTTTGCCTCAAATTCTTTAAACAAAACTTGTGGATCGTAGGGTTCCCGCTAGTAATTAATAGCACTAATTTTAATTTACATTTATTAATAGTAATATTATTTACTAAATATATTAATATTTAAAGGTATTTTTTAATTATTCACAAAAATATTTAATAAATATTTTTAAATTTTATAATTAATATTTAAAAATTTATTAATAAATTTATAATTATAGTTATAATTCATAATTATGAATTAATAAATTTTATAATTCTTAATTTATAAAAATATTACTATTATTAGTAGTAATAACTAATAATATTTAATTTAATTATTAATTTTTAAAATTTAATATTAATAAAATAATTAATTATTAATTGGAATTAATTCATTGTTGGTACTATATCACTAAGTAATTAATCATGAATTATTAATATATCACTAATATTAATTACTAAAAAGTGAAATATATTTTGGCAATTTTTAATAAATAATGGATAAAAATAATAGGTTTTAAGTGAATTTTGGTAAACTAATAGTAAATTGTCAACAAAATTAGTAATTAATCCTAAAAATATTAATTATTAAAAATAGTAATATTGTTTGGGAATTTTTAATTAATCACAAAAATAATTAATTTATTTTGATATGAGTTATAATAAAATAAAATGAAATTATTAATTATAAACAATACGTAATATACCATTCAAAGTAAATGGGTCGGATTAATGAAAATGTTTTAGTTAAATGAATGGATATATATATATATATATATATAGAGAGAGAGAGAGAGAGAGAGAGAGAGAGGTATCTTAGTTAAAAGTGGGGAAGGTGATTAGTTAAGAATATAAAAAAAGTTGGTTATGAGCAATATTGAGAGCTTTAAGAACAATAAATTAGGACCGTGAAGAGGTTTTTAGTAAAAAAAAAAGAAGTGTGGAGAGGTTTTAGGATAGAGGGGATAAAGAGAGATTTTAGGAATGTAAATCGGATTCAATTAGTGCAAAAGTCCGTTCGAACAACCATTATTGCCTTGCAATGGGAATATCTCCCATGAAATAAAGCATAGAAGTACAGAGATGTTCCCGATGCAAGGCTATAAAGGTTGCTTGAACGGGCCTTGCACTGACTGAAGCTGATCTTGTTTGTAGTAAGGAGATGTCTCAATAGGATAGGAATGCTCTTATGGGGGAGAGAGAAAGAGATGAGTTTAGCTAATTAAGGAGAGTAGTTATGTGGATCGAGAGAGTGAGAAATGTGAATTGTCGAGAGAGAGAGAGAGAGAGAGAGAGAGAGAGAGATTTTAGGTATAATTTATTGAGATAATTAGGAAATGGGGATAGAGGGTGCTGGGTTGACTTAATAGGAGTGGTGGTAAGGGGAGATGAGAGAGAGTTAGGAGAATGCAGGGTTAGGGTAATGGAGTAAGGAGAGGCAAGGTGATGTGGGCAAACTTGCTTTATATATATAGATAGATAGATTAGGGTAAATTGCTGAAACTTCTCTTGAAGTTCTAGATCATTGCTAAAACCTCCTCTAAAATTTGATAATTGCAAGTAGACCTCCTTCGTTAGAATCCTCTAAAAAGGAGCATGAAAATGTCCAGAATACCCATGCAACTACAAAATATAATGTTATAGCTTTACCTTTGAGCAATTGATATGAAGGGCAAAGTTGAAAAATAATCAATTTCAGAAGAGAGATTGAAGGGTCTGTATGGTATTTTGGACATTTTGGTGCATCTTTTAAGAGGATTATGTCAGAAAGTTCTGGGGAGGTGCTTACAATTATCAAACTTGAGGGAGGTTTCAGCAATTTAGCCTCTATATTAGATAGTGAGTGGTTTAGTTTAGCAATCCGATTTGTAAACTATTTATTTGGTAATTACAGGGCCCTACATGAAAAGGAAGAGAGAGGCAAAGGTGGGCTGACGCGTACTCAGTTCTTCCTGATTGCCTTCATCTGCAGCTTTGCCTATTATATCTTCCCAGGTTATCTCTTCCCAATGTTAACCTCCCTATCTTGGGTATGTTGGATTTTTCCAAAATCCATTCTAGCCCAACAACTAGGGTCGGGTCTTTATGGGCTTGGGCTGGGTGCCATTGGAGTTGATTGGTCAACCATTTCGTCCTACCTTGGAAGCCCACTTGCAAGCCCATGGTTTGCCACCGCTAATGTTGGCGCTGGGTTCTTCATCGTTATGTATATCCTCACTCCCATCATGTACTGGCTGAATGTGTACAAAGCCAAAACATTCCCCATATTCTCTGAAGATCTCTTCACATCCTCGGGCCAGACCTACAACATCTCCAGCATCATTGACTCAAATTTCCATCTCGACATCCAAGCGTACGACAAGAATGGGCCTCTCTACCTCAGCACTTTCTTTGCCATGACCTACGGCGTTGGCTTTGCAGCTCTGACGGCGACCATTGTTCATGTTCTCCTCTTTCACGGCAGGTATATTTAAATTTTAATTCAGAGAAGAAAAGTGTAACAAAAATGCAAAACACACACATATATCCTAATTAGTTCTTTGGCTGCTTCAGTGAAATATGGGAGCAGAGCAAGTCAGCCTTCAAAGAGAAGAAGATGGATATACACACAAGGCTAATGAGAAGGTACAATCAAGTCCCCGAGTGGTGGTTCGTGTGCATCCTCGTGGCTAACATTGCAGCTACCATCTTCGCTTGTGAGTATTACAATGATCAACTTCAGTTGCCATGGTGGGGTGTGTTGCTGGCATGTGGCCTCGCTATTTTATTCACTCTCCCCATCGGTATCATCACTGCTACTACCAACCAGGTAGGTGAAATTGCTTGTGCGTGGTCACTGACTCACTGTTCACCATTTGTCTTAATTTATTGTGATAATCGATGTATTTAAGTAATTATTATATATATGCAGACACCAGGTTTGAACATCATCACAGAGTACATAATTGGATACCTGTATCCAGGTCGTCCCGTTGCTAATATATGCTTTAAGGTGTATGGATATATCAGTATGACACAGGCCGTCACCTTTCTACAAGACTTCAAGCTGGGTCACTATATGAAAATTCCACCTAGGACAATGTTTATGGCACAGGTGGTGGGGACACTTATAGCAGGGCTAGTATACTTGGGGACAGGATGGTGGCTAATGGAAACCATCCCAAACATATGTGACACATCAGTGCTACCCTCCGACAGCCCATGGACGTGCCCAAGCGACCGTGTGTTCTATGATGCGTCTGTGATTTGGGGATTAATTGGGCCACGCAGAATCTTTGGCGACCTTGGCACCTACGAGGCCATCAATTGGTTCTTCCTAGCAGGGGCCGTCGCCCCTGTGCTAGTGTGGTTTGCCCACAAGGCCTTCCCAGAGCAGAATTGGATCCGCCTCATTAACATGCCTATCCTAATAGGCGCAACAGGAATGATGCCCCCGGCTACTGCCGTCAATTACACCAGTTGGGTCATCGTCGGCTTCCTCTCTGGCTTTCTTCTGTATAGATACCGGCAGGACTGGTGGCAGCGTCACAACTATGTACTGTCTGGGGCGCTTGATGCTGGCCTTGCCTTCATGGCTGTTCTATTGTACTTGTGCTTGGGCTTAGAAGGCATCACCCTCAGTTGGTGGGGAAGCGACCTAGATGGCTGTCCCTTGGCTTCTTGCCCAACTGCCAAAGGAGTCGTGGTTGAAGGCTGTCCCGTTTTCACCTGACACTATGACACTCAGAGACTGATGTAGTACCAGATTCAAACCAATTTAGTAAATATTTATAAATTTTGTTTTTGAAGACCCATCTTTGTATATACAGGGGGATGAGGGATGAAGTAAGTAAGAAGCAGAGATGACRCGACCAACTCAACTTAATAAATATTTATTGAGATAGCACATATTTCTATATTAATTTGTGTTTACCAAGTTAGCAAACTTAGCATCAATTTCTATATTAATTTGTAATTACTAAGTTAGCTTATAGCATGATTTCGAATTTGTATTTAATTAGGACTTTCTTTTTTTTTTTTAAAAAACATTTACTATGATTATAGTAAGGAGTGCTTTATTAAATTAGAAAACTTTCTTGTAGGAGGCATAAGGGTGTAAAGAAATCTATATAAAGAGTAGCTAGGGCAAATTAAGGTAGGAAGTTTTTTGTTGATTTTTTTTAAGTATTCAGTAAGGCTCAGTTTAGAAGTAGTACAAATGCAAATATGTACAGCGTAAATACATACAAAATATAAGGTTTTGAACTCTACACACTTTTTTCTTTGAATCTTCTCTAAACATGCTTTATTTCCATACTGACTTATGGCATAGATAAAAATTAAAAACTTAATTCGCTTTCTACAATGATCACTGTAGCACTGTACTCATAGACATATATGTACCCAACATTGTATTAATACCTGATTTTTTTTTCTTCCAGGCTGATACAAAACTTGATTAACATGGAGTAAGGAATATAGCTGTAGATGGCCCCGTAACCTGCCACCAGTCCAATGTTCCAAGGGTATGGTATATTCAATTTTCAAGACAATCTCAAATCAGATAACAAAATCACTGCAACTGCAACTAAAACTACACTTATGCCTCCACCTAAATCCCAAACCACTCTTCTTATATGCCGCTGTTTAGCTCCCAATCCGATGAAATGAGAGGGCTGAGGTATCCCTATACCCTATCATTTTTACAGACTAGTATAACCCTTCATAGTATTATATAGACTTGTTCATGGGCCGAGTTGGGTTTTCATTTTGTATTAATAGAATTTTCTAAGGTCTAAGCCTGAGCCTGAGCCCGGCCCGACCATCAGGCCTACAACTTGAGCCCGAGCCCGGCTCGACCATCGGGCCTACAACTTGAGCCCGAGCCCGGGCCTAGGCCCGAGTCCAAAATTTAGCCCATACTGTTAGCGGCTGAATAGAGAGAGAGAGAGAGAGAGAGAGAGAGAGAGAGAGATTATAAAGAAAAGAATAAAAAATGTATATATTAAATTATAAATATATATTTTAATAAATATTATATTATTTATATATTTTATATAATATATAAAATACATATTATATATTTTATAAAATATATAATTTTGAGTCGGGCCGGGCTGGGCTCTTTTGACAAATCCCGAGCCCAGCCTGAAAAACAGTTAGGCTTACCGTGTTAGGTCCGATGTCAGGCCCGCAAGCCTAATTACATGACCAAGCCCGACCGAGGTGCGGGCCGGGCTGGGCTGGGCTATCGGGCTACCCGGCCCATGAACAGGTCTAGTATTATATGCTTAATAGATTATTCTAATTGACACGTAGTTTGGATTATTTAGGCTCAATTTGGATACAAATATAAATATGTAGAGTGTAAAACTTTGTATTTTATATTGTTTTGCATGTATTCTTTTCAAATGAAGCCTTATGAAAATTTTGATGTGGTATATTTATGCCTCTTATTAAAGGATTCTAACAAACGAATCTACTTATAATTATGTCAAAAAGTCCAAAAAGGTTGATTGTAATTACTAAAATTCAAAAGAGGTTTCAAAAAAATAAAGCCAAAACACTTTTTCCAATAATTTCGGATGCATGAGTATGGCTATTAATTTTGACTCTTCATCCTGGAATGTTGAACCGGTTAGAAACATCTTTGATGCGAGGACAAGTGACGCTGGATATGAGTTTGTCAATTATACCCAAAAATTCAAGGTCCGAATCCTTTTATCTCGGATTTAGATGGTGTATTTATGTTATTGGATTGGAATCTGCATCGGATTAATAATAATCGGATCAGATCCATAGTTGACTATGTTCGATTTGATTATATTATAATATTTTTTATTTTTTATATAAAATTTATATAATTATATTAATATTATAAAAAATATATTTATATATTATATTATATATGAATTTATATATAATAAATTCAGTATGTTATATTTATATTAATATATTATATATAAAGTCAAAAAGTAATTAACCTTATTTTAAAAGATTATAGTGGAGTGAGATTAAATCGGAATATAATCCTTCAAATCCGATTGGATTCGGGTTTTTCTGAATTCGATTACAGCTCTAACTGGATATATATATTGAGATGAACCCCCTCCGGCCTTACCCCATGGGTAATATATAGTAAACCTTTATTGCAAGACAAACCTTTTATTTCAAAATAGGGGTGGCCACGAGTCGAGCTTCTTACGAGTTATGTGAGCTCAGTTCGGTTTGATTTAAACCGAGCTTCAAGCCGAGCTCGATCCTGATATATAGGCTCATTTTCTAATCGAGTCGAGTTCGAGCACAATGAAGCTCGGCTCGTGAGGCTCGTGAGCCTAGTATAATAAATAAGTAAATTTTTATTATATACATACATACATACATACATACATACATACACATATAATTATATAAATATATATAATAAATAGTTTTTATTATATAATAATATTTTATATATAATATTTTTATTTTTTATGTATAATGGTAAATAATTTTTATTTTTTGTATGTAAAATAAAAACATTATTTATATGTATATTTTTATTTTTTATATGTATAATAATAAATAATTTTTATAATTCTTAATTTTTTGTATATAAAATAAAAATAATATTTTTATATGTATACATTTTATTTTTTTAGAAAAAAACTTGGCTTGCAGTCTAGCTCGAGCCTAACACAATTTCAGCGAGCCGAGCTCAAATAACCAAGTATTCGGCTCGACTCAGCTCGAATCTACCCTTATTTCAAAATCCTCGATGGCTCTCATAAATCTCAATTTGAAATTTGTTTGAAAGAAAAGGACTTTTAATCTAGAATTCTATATTTCTTTTTTTTTGGATGCATAAAAAAATTATATTATAATAGATTATCAAAATAAATAATTGTACAAAGATTCCTCCAACCAGACAGGAGGAGTATCAAAGCTAACAATTGAGTTATGTGACTTAAGTAACTGAGCCAATGCGTAAGCTATCAGATTACTCTCCCTATTAATATGTATACACAAAACTTATAGGTTCAAGCAGTTTAGAAATTAGGCCCCCTTATGTTCGTAGAAATAGGGGTCTGGAATTGGAATCAGAATGGGCTATTTCAATTCTAACTGGAATTGGAATCGAAATCCTATTTCCATTTCTGCTGGAATGGCTATTTTTCCCTTAGGAATAAAATCCCATTCCTGTTGATTCCCATCTTCATTCCCATTCCTGTCTGAGTCAAACAGACTATAGAAATGGATTATTCCAATTCCTATTCTGACTACAAGCCGAACTCAGAGGAAAAACTATGGCCAAGGGAATAATGTTAGACCAATTTTAATCTTTGGACATCAAAAGAGCGAGCTTGGTGAACCGCTGCCTGCAATTCAGCTTCTTCGATCGAATTAACAATACCACCATGACAAAACATATAAACATCAGCTGATCTCACAAGGGGGAAGATTGTTGGAACGAGAAAGAGATTGTGAACAGGGAGAAGACCCAGTAGAATGAGACTGCCTAGTCATCAACCAAGGAAACCTGACTGATAATCCAATGAACAGAGAGATCAATGAAATTTCAAAAGTTTTCCTGTTTCTAGCATACCAGATAAATTAACAGCCAAGAGCGCGCAGACCATTTTAAGAAAATTTGAAGTTTGAACCAAAATTTAATTTTTTCAATTAAGATTAATTAATAAGCATAAAACACACAAAATTAAAGACTACAGTAGATCCTTTAATCTGGAACACATGCAAGGGAGAAAAGTAATAGTAGAGAGGCAAAAAGCAAACGAAACTGCTTTAACGTATTCACAATCACAGAATAAATTATACAAAGTTTCAACTTCTTCCCCACACAGAGCTCCTCATTGAAAATTCTCCAAAGAAACAGTAAATCAGTTAGAAAATGTTCCAAATCAAAATGAGATTATTTTCTTTCTATTTGGAACAGTTAGAAAATGAATCGTTCTAAATCCAGTAAATCAGTTTGTTGAATGCATTTTGCCTTCCGGCTTTCGAAAAAACAGGTTTGTTTATTGTCGGTACCGGTGAACTTAATGAAGCGGCCGGCAAAAAAAGACATTCATGAATGAAGAGAGTATTGTAGGAAGCAATTTTTTGGGTGCGGTGGTAATGGTTTTCAGCGATTGCCAATAATATAGAGACCAGTACGTAATAGTAATAAATATTCTTTCTGTAAAATTGTACAGTGGTTTTGATTTTCTCAAATGGAACTGATGATGTTTTAGAAGGGTAAAAGGTCAGCAAAAGAGGGTGACAGTGGCATCCAAAGTTTGGTTATTTATTTCTGGGTTGGCAATGCCAAATATCTCCTATAAATGTGTCATGGGTCGTCGGTGTATTATTTGGTTCAAGAGGAAATGCCGTTACCTACCTTCTTCACAATACCACCAAAAGGAAAAAGAATAAATATATATAAATGACTTAGTTTTAATTATATGCATGTATTCACATCAAGTACTTATGGTAATTTTTTGGCCCTTTCTGTAACCACCTTTATGTGTAAATTATAATGGCAGTTTCGCTTTCACCCGACTTACCAAATTAAAGAAAATAAGTTTCATGATAATATTAGAGGCAGTGCGTGACATCTCAAATGGAGAGAGAGAGAGAGAGTCTTGGATCAGAAATAAAACCAAAATACTCATTGGGTCACGATTTTATGGGTTAGCCCATTAATACCGATGAAACTATGGGTGGTGGTTAGTAGAAGACAAAAATTAAGATCAATTTTAGTATTTTATCACATCCTCTACACCAATTTTAGTATTTTATCATTTTAAATTCTTCTTCTGTTTTATAATACATCTCAAATACTATTTTATTTTATTTTCTTTTCAATCTTTCAAACTTACAAGAAATACAAAGAGAGATTAAATTTCTGAAACTACCTTTATGGTTTATCTAATTCACTAACTCTACCTTTACTGTTTATATATTGTCTTAAAGTACCCCCAAGTTTTCTGAYAATTGACTAATAATTCACTAACTGCTCACATAATTGACTGTTATATTTTGAAAAATGACAATAATACCCTTTCATTACCATATTGATTTATGTTAAAACATTTTTCGTTTTCAGTAAAAATGGATAACAAACACACCCAAAAGCTTTTAAATGAGAGTAGTCAGGGGATCGTCCAAATAATTTGGCATAAGGGGAGACATTATAAAGTACTGGTGTAGGCATCCTGTTGATAAGGAAAGCAGTAGTCTAGGCAACATCATCCCAATAGGAGAGAGGCATAGAAGCATGAGACAGTAGAGCAAGAGTAGTCTCAATGATGTGATGTGATGATGTTTCCTCTCAGAATCCCCATTTTGTGCATGCAAATGGGAGCTAGAAACATGATGAGTTATACCGTGTTGTGCTAGATAGGATGAGAGGGATGATACTCACCACCCCAGTCAAATTGAAATTGTTTGATTTTAGAAGAAAACAATCATTCAACATGTAACTGAAATTGAATAAATGTTGGCAATGCATCAGACGGAAAAAGACAAATGAACTTACTGTATTCATCCATGAATAAAATATAATATCTATAGCCATTACAGAAGGTTCAGGGGAAGATCCCCAAATATCTGAGTAAATTAAATCAAATGGTAGTTGTGAGGGGATATGAGAATGCTTGTGTGGGAGCCATTGTACTCTAAACGAGTTTGCAGACTATTCATATCTGGCGTGAGATAATTTGCCGCGCAAGTATCTGGATACCAGGCTGGATTGAAGGTACTAGGCACACCCCCTACTTGATATGCGTTATAGAAAGGCTGACTTTGCTCACCGGTGTATGAGATATCAAATCGTTTGTTGTAGTTGAGTACATGATGATCAGGTTTATTACACAGTCGGCATCTCAATTCACCATTGGAATTAGGAGGTTTGAAATTTTGATAGTTGTCATTGCCTCTGCCTCGACCCCCATGGCCTCTTCCTCGTCCTCTATAATTATTAGAATAGTTGGAATTATTTTGATTCTTGAATTGACAGGTGTTACCTTGTTGGCCGAAGTTATTGTTATTGTTGTTGGAGGGACGAGACTGAGAGTTAGCAAGATTAGCCAAGGGCTGAGATGGAGAGGGAAGATGTCTTTGTTGAAGCCAGACCTCATGGTTGGAAAGAAAACCTTGCAGATCGTCCACGGTGAGAGAGCTAAAGCCTAGATGAGTGGTAAGAGAGGTGATAAATGAATCAAAATCCGCACCTAGTCCGCCCAATATGTGAAGTAACAGATCATGGGTGGTTATGGGTTCTGATGCTGCAGCAAGTTGATCAGATAGGCACTTTGCCTTTTGTATATATTTGGTGACAGAGAGGAGTCACCTTTCTTTAATGTCATTAATTGAAATCTCAACTGAAGAATTCTAGCTGGGGAAGGAGATGCATAAGCATTCTCTAATGCTTTCTATACTGTTGGAGAAGTATTTAGTCCCCTATGTAGACTGAATATGGGAAGGAATTGTGCCTTCCATGAGAAATAATTGTCACCGCCGGTCAGTTTGATTGGAAGAGAGTGAGAGATGTTCGGCATTGTAATTGCCCCAAGGCTCGATGCCGAAGGTGAAGTAGAACCGAGAGAGGGAAGAGCTGAACTGATGCTGGACAATGAAGCCATTGGCTCTGCCGCTTTGATACCATGAAAAAGGACTGATAATAGTAAAACGCAAGAAGAAATAAAGAGAAGAGAATGATGAGTTGATTTGTGGATGTCGAGCTTCTCATTAGTGCATGTATTCATAGTACATGAGTTAGAGTTCGATTAGGAGAATGATTGCACACTCCTAATCACTAAACATTAATTTGAGATAATACAAATCCTAGAGCCTTCTCTAGATTAGTTTGGGTTAGTCCTTATTCCTTGGAGTTGGATCTCTATCCAACTTCTTTTCCTTAACAAAGCACACATGGCGGGTTCTCTATTCTGTGTAAGCCGCATGCCAACAAATGCCTTCCTCCGTTGGACATGAGCCAGCCTACTCCAATGCAGGAATTGGCTACTAAGGATCTCCATGGTTGAGTGGCGATTTAAACATATCTTCAGAGGTCAACCCCAATGACCTTACACAAATAAGTAGCGTTGAAGCACAGAGCAGTGATGAAAACCAAGTTAGCTGGCTTCATAAGCAGCAAGAGGCAATGTCATATAAACAATAACAATAGCTGTAGTTTAAGGACGACCAGCAGACCAAAGGTGGACTGACCCTCTACACTCATGAATGTTTCTTTAAATATGTTTCAAGACACAATAGAAGATGGCAAAACATGAAGGCAGTGATTCCTCCACAAGAAGGATGCAGACGTAGACATAGACGGAAGTGGAGGGGGAGACAAAGACCGAAAATGGAAATGGAGATGGAGACAAAAAGCGGAAACAGAGGGGCAATCAGATTCCTATCTTTTTGAAAATTTTTATTAGTTGGGTTTTATTTTGAAATTTTGAAGAATAGTGGAGGACAAATTCGACATTTTGTTTTTTTTTTTTTCCATCGGGGTACTTATTGACGATGTCAATTGTCAAAAAAACAATAAGAATGAATAGACAATAATGAATAAGGGTGGAGTTAGTCAATTAGCTAAACCATAAATATAATTTAAAAAATATGCTCTTTTTTTTCATATATGTAGAGGAAGGTGTGAAGGTAAAATGAATATTTGAATTTTTTTTTAAATATCATGTGAACACTTTCTGTCACTATAATTGAAAGGAGGCAAAAATTAGTAATTCAATCACAAAAGGAAAGTACGTTTATACTTTATAGGTAAACCGGATGAAAGGTCTTAAAATTTGACAAAAATTCCAGGGGACCATATGAATAACTAATCCTCTTTTGTTGAATAATGAAGGACCGGCCATGTGATTATTAATGAACAGGCATTTACGGTATTAAAGATAATGTAAAGGGAGTCAATATCTATAGTCTATGATACCGGAAAAGTGTGGAGAAGTTCTCTCCGTCTGGTTGTTTATGACTCAATGTTTATAGAAGAAAAAAAGGAGAAAAAATAAATAAAGTTTTTATGGTACATGTCTCCACGCTTGTCTCCGGACTCCGGACTCTGGACCGTCTCTCACTCTAATCTGCGCTAGACCGAAGAAATAAGATCTTTCTATTTGGTGGTATCCATGACTGGAAATCCCCTATCATCCGAGATGGAGATGGAATCGCCGGAATCTGGAAATTCGACGATCAAGCAGGTGGCTCTGACGGTACCGACTACCGATGATTCAAGCATCCCCGTTCTGACGTTTAGAATGTGGGTGCTGGGATTAGTGTCTTGCGTCCTGCTGTCCTTCCTGAACCAGTTCTTCTGGTACCGAACAGAACCCATTTCAATCACAGCGCTATCTGCTCAGATAGCTGTGGTTCCTCTGGGACATTTAATGGCGTCGACGATCACGAAACGTGTGTTCTTCAAGGGTAGCCGATGGGAGTTTACTATGAATCCTGGTCCCTTTAATGTCAAAGAACACGTTCTGATCACCATTTTTGCCAACGCGGGAGCAGGGACTGTTTACGCCACCCACATCCTCAGTGCCATTAAACTCTATTACAAGAGGAAACTCACCTTCTTTCCTGCGCTTCTTATTATTTTAACAACCCAGGTCTGTTTTCCTGCTATATTTCTTTCTTTTTTTTTTTTTCTATTAGATAGATTGGCCGATTCTGATGATGGGTTTGTTGTTACAGATTTTAGGTTTTGGATGGGCTGGGATGTTCCGGAGATATCTAGTGGAACCGGCGGAGATGTGGTGGCCCAGCAATCTTGTTCAGGTCTCGTTATTCAGGTGAGCAAGAAACTCTTTTAAAGAGTGTTGACTGAGCGGTTTTCAGTTTTCACTGTAAATACGAGAATATATATATATATATATATATAATAATGCATGCAGAATGTAAACACGACAATGGCATGACTGGCCATGGAAGAAGGCCTTGACCCGCCGCTGCCGCTGTGTATCGATTTCTGTAGGGCTTATTCAGTATTCATCGACGTCCGTCGCCGGATAAAGAATCCCATAAAAATAGGGGATTCTAGTAGTCTTTTACAAATTCCAGTTAATCGCAGAGTCTTCCGAGATTCTGGATCCCGATGCCATCGGCACTGCCAGTTATCACCCACCCAACTTGATATAACATAATTATCTTTCTTGTTTTGTAACAACTGATATGATTTTATATTTACTAATTACTACTAAATATAAAATAATATAATTTAGGATAGAGTATCATACCATTTGCACCGATTTTCACAGGTCCCCTCTTAAATCTGGCGTAAACCCCCGTTTTGTGTCAGTTCAATATAAAGTGTTTTTAAAAAACAACTCTTACCCAAACACTAAAAAGTAAAAACACTTTATATATGTTTTATTCCTAAACGGCCTAACTCTCTGTGATCTGTGAGAGGGCAAGGCATGCAAGAAACCTTAACCCTTATAAAGTAGTGGATCCTGATCTTTATTAAAAGTCACATGTAACGCATGTGCCATCTTACCGTCCTAGTAAACAATAAGAAAAGAAAAAAAAAAAAAATCAATTAATTTATCAAGTGGATTGCGTAGAGGCCAAACGAAATTAAAAGGATCTAGAGTTGAGTAACTAACGGTTGGTCTTGGTGGCACAAGTAGTCAGCTTGTTCCCGTTCCCCCAAACAAGGAAAGTTTCAAAGTGGTTGCATGCTTTGTTTTGACAGGGCTTTACACGAGAAGGAGAAAAGGCCACGTGGTGGGGTTACGCGTACCCAATTCTTCCTGATAGCCTTGACATGCAGCTTCGCCTACTACCTCCTTCCCGGCTACATTTTCCCCATGTTAACAAGCTTGTCATGGGTCTGTTGGATATTTCCCAAATCCATTCTGGCCCAACAAATTGGGTCGGGCCTGGAGGGACTTGGGATTGGGGCCATCGGTCTCGACTGGTCCACCGTGTCCTCTTACCTTGGCAGCCCACTTGCTAGTCCTTGGTTCGCCACTGCCAACGTAGCCGTGGGCTTTTTCATCATCATGTATATCATAGTCCCTATCAGCTACTGGTTGGACGTGTACAAGGCCAAGACCTTCCCCTTATTCTCATCCGGACTCTTCACATCAAAGGGTCAGAAATACAACATCTCAAGCATCGTCAACTCCAAGTTCCACATCGACCTCGACAGCTATGAGCGTAACGGTCCTCTCCACCTCAGCACCTTCTTTGCCTTCACCTACGGTGTGGGCTTTGCTGCACTTACTGCTACCATCGTTCATGTCCTCCTCTTTCATGGAAGGTACCAAGTCTAAACAACTGATGAATTAATTAATTGCCGATTAAGTAATATTAATTATTACTATATATATGCAGTGAAATATTGGAGCTAAGCAGATCAGCGTTGAAGGATAAGAAAAGGATGGACGTGCATACCAGGCTTATGAAGAAATACAAGCAAGTTCCACAGTGGTGGTTCATGTTCATCCTGGTGGTGGTCATGGCAGCCACCATCTTCGCTTGCGAGTATTACAACGACCAACTTCAGTTGAGGTGGTGGGGTGTCTTGCTAGCGTGCCTCGTTGCCTATGTCTTCACTCTCCCCATCGGCGTCATAGCTGCTACCACCAACCAGGTAACCAAACCATTTCTTTCTTTCTTTCTTTTGAGTTTGTTGAATTGAACGGAGAGGACTTCTCCTTTGTTGATGATTAATTTAAATGCAATGCAGGCGCCAGGTTTGAACATCATCACAGAGTATATATTGGGTTACCTGTACCCTGGCCGTCCAGTTGCTAACATATGTTTCAAGGTGTATGGCTACATAAGTATGACTCAGGCCCTCACCTTTATACAGGATTTCAAGCTTGGCCACTACATGAAGATTCCTCCTAGAGCAATGTTCATGGTCCAGGTTGGTCTTCTTCCTCCAACGTATATGAACGTACGATTCTGATTGCAATTATTTCTGAGATATGAATTGTTCATTATTAATGAAACCCATTCTCTAAAGTCTAACCATTTGATATGAAATACTAGTTATTTATCCTGAATCTCTAATGATAAAACTCATGTTCAGATGATAGGTACCGTTATAGCTGGATTGGTATACTTGGGAACTGGATGGTGGCTTATGATGACCATTCCCAACCTCTGCGACACGGCCGTGCTGCCTGATAACAGCCCATGGACTTGTCCGATGGACCGTGTATTCTACGATGCTTCCGTCATCTGGGGGCTGATTGGCCCTCGTAGAATATTTGGAGATCTGGGTTCCTATGCTGCGGTCAATTGGTTCTTCCTAGGAGGCGCCATTGCTCCTCTCCTTGTTTGGGTTGCTCATAAGGCCTTCCCTAACCAGAAATGGATTCGCCTGATCAACATGCCTGTGTTGATAAGCGCAACAGGAATGATGCCTCCAGCCACCGCTGTCAACTTCACCACTTGGATCATCATCGGCTTTCTCTCTGGTTTCGTTGTTTACAGATATCGACAAGATTTGTGGCAGCGCCACAACTATGTCCTCTCTGGAGCTCTTGATGCCGGGCTTGCCTTCATGGGGGTGCTCTTGTTTGCATGCTTGGGCTCAAAAGAAATAAGCATTGATTGGTGGGGAGCCAACCCGGACGGCTGCCCCTTGGCTTCTTGTCCAACAGCCAAAGGGGTGGTTGTTGATCACTGCCCAGTTTTCTAGTTCAACAGTTAGATTTCTGAATATAGATTTTGGATTTCTAGTTTATCAGTTTGGAACAACTCTCTTATTACTGTAAATAGGTAATGATTTCTTTTGGAAATTTAGGTGTTGGATTATCTCTTATAACATTTTAAGTTATAGAAATCCTTTCTTGATGCTATGCCATCCACCAGAGCGTTGCCTATGTCAAATTGGAACTACTTTGCAGGATACCGACTTTTTAATCCCCCCAAAAAAATAGTTTGATCTTTTTATTAAAGTGACCTACACATTTTTATTTCGAACCTAGTATTTTGGTGTTCAATTTAGAAACTAGTTGGAGACATTAAGAGGCTTTTTTGTTTTCATTCTAAATTTTACCAATTCATTATCTAAAATAATGCCCAAAGTAAACTGAACAATGCTCCTCTAAAAATAAGAAGATGCCTCATGAAGCACATTCAAATGAGCAAGAATCCTTGCCGCCAAAGGTTTCATTGTACTGTTTCCCCTCTGAGTTAAGTCAACCAAATGCATATGCGCTAGTGCTCCGTACTTTTGCTTGAACTCCATTAACCGGAAAATCCTTTCCAAAGCACAAAGAGACTTCTCCTGCAATTCAGTATACGGAGAGCTTAATAAATTTATGATTGGTATAATGGCATTTGCTTCATCAAGCACCTTACTACCACTCTGCAGCCTTTCACCATCAATCAATGTCAACAGTGCATTCAAAGCAGCGTTAGAGGCTCCAAAATTTGATTCTCCAAGTACAGTCACAAGGGGCTGTACAGCTTCAGCCTCCACAAGGCAAAACGATGACTCCACTGTACATATGCCCATGTGCACTGGGCATCCAGCTTCAGGGGGTGGCGAGAAGCACCGGAACCCCCCACGTCTATGTATTGGTCTACTCAACCTGACTGAACTCTCTGAAAACTGAGCAAGTGAAAAGGCCGCATGTTGTTTTGTCAAAGCAGTTCCAGAGCCTAGTAACCGTACCAGCACTGGGATAATTCCAGCTTCAGCTGCTCTCTTCTGCCATTCCATATTTGTTGAAATGGTGAAATGGCGCATAGCCCCAACCGCATTCTCTATTAGATTGTTCCTATGGGTGCTATTAGAATTTCCATCATTGAGAAACTTGGAAATGACTACAAGTGCATCAGCGTCCAGAAGCCACCGAGTGATTTGGGTAGGTCCCATGGGGAGATTAGAGATGATTCCCATAGCGGCTGTAATTTCTTCCTTGTCATGCGAATCTTTCATTCTCCTGATTAAAGTCCCAATGCACCTCTGATCAACATGCTCTGACAATGAGCCATCATCTCCATCTTCTGTCAAACAGCAGAATAGCTTTAAAGCATCTGCTCCTATACCAATGTTATCAACCTCACATAATTGAACCAATACCGGAATGGCTGAGCACTGCAGATTATAGACAAATTTTTTATGGGTTAGGTTACAGACAAAATAAAACAACCAGAATCACCAAATTACTCAGAGATGATAAAATGCTATCCAAAATAAAATTGTGAAGTACATGACTTAATTTTCTGTTTTCTAGGAATAATGCATAAAGTTCACTAGTTCAGTTTGACCAAAATGTGCTTCAACCGAAGCTAAACCCACTATAAACAAATGTGTTAGGTCAAGGCTGCTGGAATTTAACAGCTTCAAGATCTCCATTTTTTCAGATTGGTCCAATACTACTGTTTTGGAGATGTTTGAGTAAAAGTGGGAATGCACAACTGATCGGCAATAGTTATAGATGTTGAGCTGAATAGAACATATGTGTACATATCTTCATGTCTAGTGTACTTCTATATATGTGCATTATATGCACAAGTATGCATACATGCATAAGCACACACTGTTTAAAGGGTTATATCCATGTCAGGTTCAGCTTTAGTTCCTAAAAACGCCCATGGTTTTCAGAGAAACATGCATGCTCATATTTTTCTTTGATTTTAATAGAAATATGCAGAATATAACTTTTCCTATGAGGCACCGACAAGGGGGCATACCTGTCTTAATTTAGACCTTATGTCCTTTGCAGAAGGGCCTTGGCACATGGCCTTAAAGGTCCTAAGTAAACTTTGTTGTATATTGGGTGCTGTCATGGTGATCAAGGACAAGAGCCTGAATATGTCCTCGTCAGATTCCAGAAGTGGCACTTCTGTTTGTCTGGCTTCTTGTGTCGTAGTTGATACTGCAATATTCATAATGGTAGATGCTGYTTGTTCTCGTAAACTTGGGGGTGTTCCATGAGAGTAAAGCAGGTCAAGTAGCAGGCACACTGCACCCTCTTGAATCATCTGGAAGCCATTCCTTGGCAAGGTTGAGAGGTTTTTAAGAGCCTTAACAGCTACTTTCTTCATCTCAGCATCACCAGATGACACCAAGTGAAGAAGTGGTTTCAGTACCCCATCCTCAAACAGAGTCAACTTATTGTGGTCACTCAACTCCATTTCTGCCAAAGTGGTTGCCATGATTGTCTTGACATTTTCTGGTCCTGCATCAACAGGTGCATCAGTGTTTTTAAACCATGGTGCTAATTTAGTATCAATCAGCTGAGTGTGTACATGGACCAGAATTTGGGGAAAAGTACAATAGGGTTCTGGTTCTGAGAACACTGTATTAATTAAGAACAAATATGTAGTGATGTTCCTATTGTCTATGTAGATTTGTTCTTTCTTCCCTTAATCATTATTGACCATACAGACTATCTTTGAAAACAAGGTAACACTTAGGTGGCAAGGCATTTTTTGGGAGGGTCTTTATACCATACCATCATCATCATCATCCAAACCTTATCCCAACTATATGGGGTCAGCTATATCCTACATGAATCTTGTTTCGCCAGTCCGTTCTTTTTAATGCCATGTCCTTTTAAACTATTAGCGCTTGAATCATTTATTACTACTTTTATCCATGTCCTTTTAGGTCTACCCCTTGCCCTTCTAGCCCCTTCAACTTGTAACAAATCACTTCTTCCAAGTGCTTGATGGTTTCCAATGCACATTACCAAACTATTTTAGTCTACTTTCTCTCATTTTATTATATGCACATTCATTGGGGGTTTCTATTACAAGTTAACAACTGGGTTTTTATACCCTAGCTACTCTCCTCCAAAGGTCAGGGATGATAAGGACGGACTTCACCGGGCTTCCCCCGAGTGAGCAAGAGCTGGAGCGTGCGAGAGAGAGAGAGCCTATCACAACGAGGACTTCACACGAGTGCTTTTGGATAAATTTTCTTGATAAACCAGGGTAGTGGGTCTTATTATGTTGAAGCCTTGAAGGTGTGATTGGGAGTAGTCTATCACAGCTTGGACAATGATAAAGGCTTTTGGCCATTCTGCTATCAGACAAACAAAACCTTGGGGGGAGGGGGTGGGGGGAGTGAAAGAGGGTGAGAGAGATGGATGAAAATGTGCTTAGGGAGCATATCCATCATATATCATAAATTGTTATTCTCTTTATCTATTATTAACAGGCCTAGTTATAAACTCAAACTACGACTACTGAAAGAAGATGGTTGGTTATTGCCCCCAAGAAAGAGGAAGAACAGCAAAAAGAAAAGAAAAGAAAAGAAAATCATATCAACAAGCCCTAAATTTCAAGTAGGTATTTATAACTTGCCTGCTTTCATCAAGAGTTGCACTAAATGTCATAGGATCTAGATCAGAACAAGTTCAAAATGATTCTAGATCCATACAATGGCCACCAGAGCACACTAGAGTACTGATAATATTCTATAATTTTATTAAAATTTTCAAGGGACAGAATGATAAGTTATAGTACCTGAAGAAAGGCGCTGCAATAAAGGTTTGAAATGATTTGCCTTGGCCATTTGTATGACATTTTGGTCAAGGAATGAGAGATCCTCCAGAAGTTCCTTTGCATATTTGGCAGCTTGAGTGTCATCACTGCTCAACATAGTGACTAGAAGGAGTATGCAGCCCTTGACCTTCCCAATACAGTGGCATACAATGTCACTTTTTGATAGTTCCAACAGCAATGCAACTGCTAGCTTACTTTCATCAATATGGCGTGCAAGGGATCGAACAATAGCTTCAATTGCATTTTCAACTTTAGCAATTTTTTCCTGCAACATGCATATTTTGGACAGAACTTGTAAGAAAAGATGAGGAAAAATGGGCATTTTTCTTCTTAATGATAACCCAGAACCTATAAGGGCCACTACCCAATGTTGATCCCGACTATCTAGGGTGTTGGGAGGAGTTGGCAGGATACAGGCAAACCTAAAGTGACCACTCTCATACTTGAATCCCCACTCTCACACTTGTTGGTCCAAGATTTTACCATTTCACTAAGTAGTGGCCCCTAAGTTCTGGAAAATAAATAAGGATGTTGTGTTCTACAATAATGGGTATCCAAGATCAACAGACCAAAATATTGGTGTCTTTATGTTAATTAAAAATAAATAAATAAAGAATTCTGCAGAGGTCAAGCTAACAAATAGAAGGTTTATATCTTCTCTTCTTCCACATTTATAAAAACAGACATAATCTAGTCAAGCAAGAGGCAACACAGAAGGTACCTTAGTATCATCACTATCCTTTGCTAAGATGCAAAGGATGACTAGAACACGAACCCTTATCTCACGATTTTTTGCAGGCAGAAGTTCAATGAGTATCGGAATGTAGTTCTCTAATGTTACCCACTCTCGATGCAAATCTCTTTCCTTGCAGAGATCATGCAGCTGATCTAAGGAATGAAGCACTTCTTGCTCATCAACTGATTGGAGTTTGGGTTTCATGGAAGCAATTGTGATCATGGTATTCCGATCCTTCCATTCTTCAATTGACTGCCGTAGAGTTTTATTAGGCCGTAAAATTAATGTGTCTAATGGGATCCTACTCAAGGGGCAGAGGGTGTTCCCATCTGCAAACCATTTCTCTATTGCACTTCTCTCAAACGTCTGTCCAGAGGAGGTCTCTACGGGGTCTACCATTACGTCATGAGTGATTGGGCAATAAAATGACTGGAGAGGTTCCAATGGTTGATTGCCTAAAGAATTTCTCTTGGTGAAGTACTTTCTCTCTTTCTCCCCAGGGGACGAAGTGGCATCAGCCCTTCCAAGTAAAGCAATAATTTGATCCATTTGTATGGCTTCAGCCTGGTCCTTTCTTACCTGTGTGTCTTCTATTTCTGTTTTGAATTCTTCAAATTCCTTCTTCAATGCTGACGTTTCAGTTGAGATCCCAAGAGCTTTTGCAATGAGAATCATCAAGTTATTTGCATAAGAGCGATCTACATTCCTTTCTTGTATTCCTGATTCAATTTTCTCCATAATTTCCTCCTCGGACACAGCTGCCCTAAATTCTGCTGTAAGCATCTTGTCACATAGCTTCTTGATCTCTTCATTTACCCTGGATGAGAGATCTAGTGAGGCCAAAGGGATGAGGCCCAATGCCCGACTGATCTCTCTTGTAGTTTTTTCTAAGCGCTTAACTATACTCCGGCAGTTGACTAAGAGGTAGACCTTGTTCCTCTTTTTGCACTCAAGAACTAGCTGCTTGGCAGCTTTAATTTCCCGATTCAGAGTTTCCACAGCATTATTCAGGATCTCAGGGTTATTGATGTTTTTCTTGGTCAACTCTTTTAGAACAGGAATAATCTTTTCCAAGTAAGACGAGAGTTCGGCAAAATTCTCCTTCTCGACAAGCACATCCTTTGCAGCCTCAGCGGTCTCTGCTATGGTGTCTACCGTCTGAGCAAGTATTTCTGAGACCGGAACAAGTGAAACATTAAGAATCATATCTGTCGTTATCTCTCTACCAGAAAAAAGAAGCTATGGAAGAACCAACATTCAATTTCTTTCTTGGAGAAATTTGCACGTAGAAGTGGCAATCAGGATGAAATGGCATGATTTGGGTGAAACAGGATAAGAGGAAATATTGATATCACCATGGGATATGAACGTAAAATTCAGAAATACTGCAGAGATAGATCAACAAATTYTCGGAGAAACACTAGAGTGATCATGAACAGAAATAGAAACCCAGAAATTTCGGCTTTCAAATTCTTCTAGCTGAAGCTCAGATGGAAGAAAGAAGAAGGAAAACGATGTACAGATAAGAAGAAAGCTGTAAATTCACGGGAAATGAATTAGAATGATCAATCCGGGGGTATCAGAGATAACAGACTCGGATTACAACTACTCTCCAGTAGTCTRTACTAGTTCTGTCATCATCAATCACAAGGAGACGAGTAAAGCTGGGGTGAATACGAGATCAGAAATTTAGGGATAGAAGAGAGTTTTTCCCGGCTCCAGCTCAAAAGGAGAAAGAAACTAACCTGCTAAAGTAAAAATTTCCATGAAAATCTGCAAGTGGAAAGAAACCCCAAGAGGGTTCCAGTTGAAAGGGTAGATGGACAGAGATCTCCGCAAATTTGTACCATATGTTACAGGCTTACAGCAACAACACCTGCAAAGATTCGGCCGAAATTCCAACAAATATAACTGGAATTTCAGATAAAATTAAGGCTTAAGAAGTACTCTTCGAAGAGAAGGACTTGATGGACGTCTCCGCCGACCCAGAGAGAGAGAGTATGGAGAAACAAAATGGAATATGAAACTTTTTCGTCCTTTTCTTCGGATGCTTTTCCCGGTTTCCCGCTGTTGACGTCGTGGGTCTCCGGTTTATATTTATCTCGTTTCACTTAAGATTTCTTTCACTCGTCGTCTGTCGTCTCTTGCTTTTGAGTTTTGACCGTGCGGGAGTAACAAATAACCCGTAGGCGTTACTCGTCAGTACGTTACTACTTGTCTTGTCCTTTGGGGAGGATTGACGACAAGTGTAATTCCGATGGGCTTCCCACATAGCGTGCCCCACACGCACCCCATAGCCCGTCCCCCGTGAATTGAGATCTGGGAACATCTTCCAAAAGGCGCGCTTTCGGCTTTCTTCCAAGGAAATGTCACCGCCACGCCACGAGCAGCCTCATAAAATGTTCTGCGCATGACACGTTCTATTTATCCTTTTAAAATATTGTTTTTACCCACACTGATCACTGATGGCCTCATTTGCAAATAAAAATTTAGGAGGGTAAATTAAATTAGCAAAGACCCCCTACACTATGGGGGTCCTTAGACTTTGGCGTTAGACAAAGACCTCTTCCGTTAGTATTCCGTCAAAGATTTTCATTTTCCTGTTACAAGAGTTCACTTTGGCTCAGCTCTGAGTTGGGTGTCCTATGTTGGGTTATTTGAAGGACCCAGCCATGATGTTCTACGAGTTCAAATCAGCCCCCCACAATATATGATGGGGATGTGCTGTGGGGGGCTGATTTGATCTCATGTTCTACATAAAAAAGAACGAAAAAAGAAGACCGAGTCTTAGAATTATTTCCGTTAAGAGAAAAGGGCAATAAAAAGAAAATAAAAAAATATCGGATGAACATTTTGGTAACTTAATGCATTTTATAAAGGGTTTTAGTGTAATGGCAAAGTTCAGGAGATCTTTCTTACAAAAAAGAGCATAAAGGCCATTGTCATTGACCCTATAGGGTTTTTTTAATTGCAGGACATCGGGATCAAATCACATTGCCCTTAAAGGCTCCGTTTGGGAAGCGTATAAATACAAATATGTAGAATGCATAATTGTATTTTATAAATATTTATTATGAATTAATTAATATTTTATTAATAATTTAATTCTAATTAATCAGAAAATAATTATTTATTTATTCACAGGTTACTTAATTATTTGATTATTAACTACTTTGTCATTATTTATTGATTAGTCAATAATACTTTTTATGATCTTATTATTAACTATTTACAATTAATCATTAGTTCATTAATTAATATTTTACTTTTCATTAGTTTATATTAATACCTACGACTTAATGAATAATTTTTATATTTTCATATTTATTTATTAATAAATTAATAAGTTATTTTTATTTATTAATATAAGGAAGATGTTTATTTTTTGTTAACGAGTTTCCCTCTTCGTTCCCACTTGGTGGGGATTCCACATCCCAAGAATTGGAATATATAATCCCACCTTATCCCCAATCCATCTCATAATATCTCATAAATAGGGTTGTTCACCAATCCGACCAATCTGGACCGACTCAACCCGAGTCGGTCGGGTTTTCTTCAGCACCGGTCGGTTTTGGGTTATAAAAAATCATAAACTGATGATTTGGTTCGATTTCGGTTTTCATGTGTGAAAACCGAAATCGACTCGAACCGAACCGACTTAGTAGTTATTTCCTAGTTAGTAGTTACAACCTACTTAGTTCCTACTTAACTAAGTTGTCTCTATCCTAGTTACAACCTAATAGAAACTAAGTCACCACTAAGTAGAGCCGAAACCGACCCAAACCGGCTCAAACCGATCAGATCGGTTTCAATTTCAATTTCAAATAACTCGACCAGATCGGGCCGGTTGGAAAAACATCAATTAACCAACCCAACCCGACCAATAAACAGCCTAAATCAAGCATGAGAAAAAAAAAATATTCCAAAATATTTCATATTTTCTCTTTCCATTGCACAAACGAACTTGATGTCATAAATCAGTTTTGCTTTAATTTTCATCCTTAGTAGCGTTCAAGGACCGGACAATATAATCTGAAACGTCCATTTGGAGGCCAGCTAGCCAGGTTTGCTTTACCTCAGTCCTGTATAATATCTTTTTCTAAGTGTAACTCGTATTGAATGGCCAGCTTCTATGCAACCATCTCTCATTATGACAAAACTTTTGGCAGTTCTTTGTATAATCAACATATATGAACCATCCACATACAAATATGTTGATAAAATACAGTCAGGAATTGACAATTTGTTGACCCTCTGATTTTCGAGTTGGTGTGTTTCATCATTTTGTACTGTTTGTGCAATATATAGGTAGCGGGTTTTCAAATGGAGTTTCTTCTCTCAAGCTTCTCAAATCAATCAGATGGCAATCGCAGCCTTATCCATCAGTTCTTGCTTCTGGGGCATTGAAATTGCTGAAAGTGTTTGTTGTTGCCATATCTCCATTAACTCGAATCATCGAATGTTTTACACCTGCTGTGGTTAAGCCAAGTTGCAGCTCCAACCATACAGCCGGGGCAAAAGGCAGGTAAAGAATAAATGTTTCTTACTTTCAGTCATTGAATTGCATAAAGTACACAATTTATCTTCACCAAACAAAAAATAAAGCCTACTTTTTGTTAATAAACCACCCTAGTAGACTTTCATAAGAAAAGTTGATATTGATATGGAATTTGAAGTTTCCATATCTTATGCCATTAAATTGTGTGCGATGATGCACCAGGTTGATGTTTGGTAGAGCTTTTATAAGCTTACTTGACAATAGAGGTGAGCATGGGCCAGTTAGGTTCGGTTCCATACTAGAACCTGGAACCTACCCTAAAGGGGCCGGTTCCTGGTTTTTTGAACCAGAACCTACCTTGTGAAGGTCGGCTCCAGGGCTGTTTCTGGCCTTGGTGGTTCCGGGGTCGATTTTAGGGCTACCTATGGAACCTATACTTTCTTTACTCTCTCCCTTCACAAAAAAGCATATTTTTTAAAACTTGGTTTTTAATAAATATAAAATATAGTATAAAATTTATATTATCTTTATTGATTAAATTGGATAACTTAATATGTAGATTATCATTATATGGTTAAAAAATTATAAATTAAATTTAAATTTTATAAATATTATCTTTTACACTACTTATCGTACACATTCAAATATTAAAATGAAAACAAATGATCAAATCACTTAAGTAATTCAATGGTCAAGTGAGATCATTCAAATTCAAACATTTGAATGTTTGGGTTCAAATATTCATATCCCTAAAAGTATTATGGAGTTTATTTCAAGGCAAGTTTTGTTCCAACAAGATTAGTTCCACCAAGGGTAACCAAGACCAGTTCATTGGGTCGGTTCGGGTAGGGTAAACCCCTAGACCCTAGAACCATCCTAGGGGAGGTCGGTTCTAAGAATTTGGAACCAGTCCCTACCCTATAATAGATTGGGTAGGGTTAGTTCAAGGTCGGTTTCATTCGGTTTTGAGTAGAACCTACCTATTTGCTCACCCTAGGGATGGATTTGAGCCAAGCCAAGCTGAATACTTAGCTATTTGAACTCGGCTCGCTGAAACTATGTTAGGCTCGAGCTCAATCTCAGCTCGGTTCAAAGCTCACAAGTTCAAGCTTAGCTTGGCTCGAGCTCTACTACAAGCCAAGTTTTTTTTTCTAAAAAATAAAAAGTATACATATAAAAATAGTTTTTATTTTACATAAAAAATTAAGAATTATAAAAATTATTTACTATTATACATAATTATATATAAAATAAAAATTATTTATTATATACATTTATATGTATATGTATATGTACGTATGTGTGTATGTATGTATATAATAAAAATTTATTTATTTATTATACTAGGCTTGTGAGCCTCATGAGCCGAGCTTCACTGGGCTCAAGATCAGCTCGATTAGCAAATGAGCCTATATATCAAGCTTGAGCTCGACTTGTGGCCACCCCTACTTGATAGTGTAGATGTATGAATTTGAGTGCTTCCAAAGCATTGTATCCCCAACTCTATCAATTAGTACACAAAGTTTCAACTATTGTTGGTTCTACGTAGCATCATTTACAAGTAGATCTTTAACCTTCATCCATCTTGTCTCCTGGATTTTATCTTCTTTTGCTCTTGGCAACCCATCATGTAGAGATGATACCTAGGGATCACCCATCAAGAAGATTTGATTACCATCTTTCATTTGCCATATAAAATCATTTTTTTAACTCCTTAGACACTATTAACATTTGTTTCCACCAGCTAAAATGAGATGAACTTGCCACTTGCATAGTGGATGCCTTGTTATGTTTTCTTAGTTCTTTCTGTAGAGAGACTGGATCAAATGGGCCCTAGCCCATTAGTGTCTTTCTTTTTAGTTCTTTCTTGTTATGTTTTCTTATTGGGAGTTTTTTCTTTATGGGCCTTTAGCTCTTGTTTTTGTTTTCTAAGTGTATTGCTGATGTGGATGCCTACTTAAGGGTAGTCTTGTAAATTATGTAACTTAAGTAAGTTTAATAAAAGATTAGTGTGGGGGAAATAGGAGATTATCGAATTCCTCATTTCTTTCTCCTTTCTTCTCCATTCTTCTTCCTTATTCTTGTTGTCTTCCTCTTCTTCTCTACTTCTTTTGCTTTAATCTAAATTATTCTACTAATTTTATTGGTCTGAATCACATCTTGGTATCAGAGCAGGTCTCCCTTCGCTTTTCTCTTTTTTCCTTTTTTCCCATACACTTTTTTCTAATCAAAAGGTGTATGGAGAGATGAATTGTTGATCATTCAGAGAGCTTGTTTGCCTAGTTGGTAGAGGGTTTGGAGAGTCGGAATCTAGCTGAAGATTGCCAAGAAAGTGGGACTATGGATTTTTTTTCCCAAAATCCTAGCCGACTAGAGAGTTTCCAGTTACGAGTTGAAGAGACTATTTGGGTATGGTGCTCAAGGCTTGGAGGGTTCCTTTTTATCTCCAAAAGTGGGTGGTTGCAGTTGGAAGTGGTTTGGATAGCTCTAGTTTGAGCGGCTACCTCTTTTCTCTTTTTCCCCGGAGGCTAGGTATAGTGAAACCCTAGTTTTGGGACTTTTGAGTGCTTGACTGACCTTAGTTAGGTCTATAAAGGTT